GTATGATAAACATGATTCACTGTAGTTCCTTATCCACTTGTTACAACTGTTAAACATGGAGTTTAGTAACTTTTATATATATTTGTAATGTTGTATGATAAACATATTCACTGTAGTTCCTTATCCACTTGTTACAACTGTTAAACATGGAGTTTAGTAACTTTTATATATATTTGTAATGTTGTATGATAAACATATTCACTGTAGTTCCTTATCCACTTGTTACAACTGTTAAACATGGAGTTTTGTTGAATATTGAGGACTATCTGCTCTAGCTGTCACTAATTTAGAAGTGATAGACCAGGGGGAAGGAAGCTAGCCATCACCACCCACCACCAACTCTTGAGTTACTCTAATCACATACTGGGAGTGATTGTCACGTTATACGAGTTTCAGATATCTTTGTTTTCCTGCACTACAACTTTAATATCAAGAAAAAACTATTTGATAAATACTTGTCATTCAATGTACGTGCCTATAAGTTTATTGTGCCTTCATTTTCTAACACGAAAAGCCTCATTATTTTAACATTATCTCATAATTCCACTCTTTAAGTTTACGTTATGTTTAAACGTGTCTAGTATCCTTTAGGTAGCATCATAAATTGACTTAATTTACGGGGTTTTTGTTTTCTATCTTCTAGCTGCTGACAATTATGTTCAACTCGCAGGAGTTCCTAAAAGAGATGAGACTCACGGAGGAGAAGATGTAGCCATCTATGCTAATGGTCCGATGTCTCACTTGTTTCATGGTGTTCATGAGCAGAACTACATTGCTCACGTTATGGCTTATGCAGCGTGTGTTGGTTCAAACAAAAATCATTGCAGGACGAGGGATTATGCTACAGCATCGACCCTAAAGAGTTCTGTTCCTAACAATGGATTAATTCATATTGAATTCATCGTTTTAATTATTTCAGGAGTCTTTATCAGTACGACACATTACAGAAGCTACTAAAAAATAATACACTCGGTGAATCTTTTTCCAGAACAAAAATAAGAATAATGTATGTCATTTGAGATTATACGAAATAATAAGACTTAAAATATTTACAAAATTTGAGAAGTTTATAAATTCAATTATTGTTGTTAAAAGGAACTCGCAGTTAGAACTGGATTGTAATTTCACGGTTTAGATTCTAGTTGATTGAAAAAAGGCCTACTATATAAATAATATATATTTTGAAGACAAAACCGAAAATCTTTGAATACCAAATTGCAAGAAAATAATAGTGAGACCCTAGTAAGCAAAATACGTTCGTACAGATCAGTATTGTTTTAAAGGACTTTGTTTACACTTCTATTCTAGAAAAAGTTGGTATCGTAGACCAGCAGAAAAATTCTGATACAAGTACTGGGTCAACCACTGTTTATATTCGTTATCGAGAAACTAACAAGTGGACTTGGTATTTAAAATCAGTAAAATAATGTTAAATAATGATTCCAGTTTTAAAAATATATTGACTATGATGTTAACTATTCTTCTTCAGGAGAACAAAGGGCGCAATATATAGTAGGACGTGTGACGTCATGTAAACCGGAAGTCCCAGTTGAGTTGAATCTGGTGACCAGCCAATCCCAACTCAAGCAGTTAGTCTCCCGGAAGAGGGAATTCGTTTGTAGAGAGAAAAAAAAACAAAAAATTATTATTAATTTTCATTATGTACGAAACTTTTGATTGATAGAGAAAAATAAATACATAGGAAGATGGGAGCTTGAGAAAATAATAATGTATTTTTAATTTGTCAATCCCACAATTCGTTGGTAAAAGAGTAGCCCAAGAGTTGGAGGTGGGTGGTGCTGACTAGCTGTCTTCCCTCTACTCTTACACTGCTAAATTAGGGACGGCTAGCGCAGATAGCCCTCGTGTAGCTTTGCGCGAAATTCAAAAACAAACAAATTTAATCTTAACTGCTCCACCCTCACTTAATTTTAGCCGTCAGATTCTCACTTAATTTTAACTGTCCCACTCTCTCTTAATTTTAATTGTACCAGTCTTTCTTAATCTTAACTGCTCCACCCTCACTTAATTTTAACCGTCAGATTCTCACTTAATTTTAACTGTCCCACTTTCACTTAACGTTAATTGTCCGATTCTCACTTAATCTTAACTGCTCCACCCTCACTTAATTTTAGCTGTCAGATTCTCACTTAATTTTAACTGTCCCACTCTCTCTCTTAATTTTAATTGTACCAGTCTTTCTTAATTTTAACTATCTACCAACAATTTATTTTGAATATCCTCTTCTGATTTGATTTTAATTATCCTCCTGTCACTCAGTTTTATCTATCCCACTCGCATTTAATTTCAACTAATCTAACATTATTTTATTCACAGTTAATTTCCTTATTCATTTATGCTGAATCATTCCAGACAAGCAAATACCAAAGTAAAGATCCACATCTTAAGCATGATCTCTCTACAAAACCTTTACAGCGAAACTTTGTACATAGAATGGATTTTGAATATCAATAGCGTTTTTTGTTTGTTGCTCGGTGAGTGTAACAAAAACTCAGTAATAAAGAATTGTGAAATAGGCTATCGTTTTCATTAACTATTGGGCCCGGCATGGCC